GTCTGTGGGGAAGGACAAGGGACATGCGGTTACTCCAGGGGTATCCCCATTTCCCATGGGAATGGCTGATGGGAGCAAAAATGCTACATGTGTTAAAATATTTACTGGCCGGGTCCATAAATGTGCATCAATCCTGTGTTACCTGTGCCAGCCCTCTGGAATGCCGCAGACACTCCACAAACTGCCAGAGAACACAGCCTGGCTGGTTTCTGATCAAGCTTTCACATGGAAAAACCCAGGGGCTCTCTCTGCCACACTTAGAATGATTTGGGTTGGAAGGGACCTTAAAGCTCATCCAGCTCCAACCCCCTGCCACGGGCAGGGACACCTTCCACTAGAGCAGGTTGCTCCAAGCCCCTGTGTCCAACCTGGCCTTGAACACTTCCTGTTTTCTCTGCAGACTTACGTGTTTCTAACCCCAACCCCATGTCCCCCCCTCCCCAGGCTACTCACTGCAGTTGTCCTCATCAGAATTGTCCTCACAGTCCTGCTCCCCATCGCACTCCGGGTTCTGTTTGCTGATGCAGTGCCCGCTGCGGCACTTGTAGGTGTACTCCTTGCATGACACCGTCGCCTGGACCCCTGCGGGCAGGACAAGGGGACAGGGGTTAGTTCCAGTTCTGGGGAAGCCCTTTCCCCTCTTCTGCCTGAACACCACAAGGATTTGCACTGGAACAGGCTGCCCAGGGCAGTGCTGGAGTAACCGTCCCTTCAAGCGTTCACACCCCGTGCAGCCGAGGCCCTCAGTGCCAGGGGTTAGTGGCGGCTTTGGCAGTGCTGGGAATGGTTGGAATCGATGATCTTAAAGGCCTTTCCCACCTCTGTGATTCCCTGGCTCCAGGGCCTGTGTGTCGGGGGGGGGGCAGGGGGGTGACAGCCCCTCCTCACCTTTGCCGCAGGTGCCCTCGTCGCTCCCGTCCCCGCAGTCGTCTTTGCCATCGCACTTGCGCGCGCTGGGGACGCACTTGCCGTTGCTGCACTTGAAGCTGTCGGCGGCGCAGCCTGGGGAGGAGAGCAGCTCCTGAGAGCCAGGAACAAGCCCTGCAGCCACCTCCCCGGGACACCTCTGCAGCTACAGCTGCAAACACCTATCACCCACAGACCCGGCCCCTTCTCTGACTTTGAGTTATTCAGCCCTCGCTCTCCTCAAAGACACAGCTCTCCCCTTCCTCCCCGCCACGAGCCTCCTTTGCCCCCTTCCTCCTCCCTTCTGCCCGTAGGGTGAGTTACTCACTGCACTGCAGCTCATCGCTGTTGTCGCCACAGTCGTTCACGTTGTCACAGACCCAGAACTTGGGCTTGCACCAGCCGTTCTGGCACCTGAACTGCTCGTCGGTGCAGGCTGGAAGGGGAGAGCGATAGCTTAGGCAACAGCACAGGATTTACACTGTTCTGGAGAAGAAAACTAACCTGGAGAGCTCAGCCAAACCCATGACGGTCAGGAGGATTACATAGAAAAACACATTCCTGGCTGGGAGGGACTGGAAAGGGAGGGAGATCCCAGAGAATCACAGAGTGGTTTGTGTTGGAAGGGACCCTAAAGCTCATCCAGTTCCAACCCCTGCCACAGGCAGGGACACCTTCCACTAGAGCAGGTTGCTCCAAGCCCCTGTGTCCAACCTGGCCTTGAACACTGCCAGGGATGGGGCAGCCACAGCTTCTCTGGGCACCCTGTGCCAGCGCCTCAGCACCCTCACAGGGAAGAGCTTCTGCCTCAGAGCTCATCTCAGTCTCCCCTCGGGCAGGTTCAAGCCATTCCCCTTGTCCTGTCCCTACAGGCCCTTGTCCAAAGCCCCTCTCCAGGTTTCCTGTAGGTCCCCTTTAGGTATTGCAAAGCCTGTTCTATATCCCACTGGGCCAGGATCCCAGATTGCCCTGAGTGCCTCCCAGGATAAGGCAGCCCACGTGCCCAGCCACCCCGCACAGACTCACTGCAGGATCTCTCGTCGCTGCCATCCACGCAGTCCAGCCACCCGTCGCAGCGCATGCTCCTGTCGATGCAGCGCCCCGTGTTGCAGGTGAACTGCCCGGGGCAGGCTGTGAGGGATGGAAAGGGATAAAACGACACGTGAGCCTTCCAGCCATCCCTTCTGTGTGCCTCCCCCCGAGCACAGCACGTTCCCTACAGCGTGCAGCGTTCAAACCCAGCTCTTCCAGAGCAGAGCAGGAGTACAGGGGGGCTTTTTCCCCCTGGAAAAGCACGCTTCCCCATCTATAGGGCAGCATAAGCACAGAGGAGGGACAGCCTCCAGATCTCGGGCAGAGCAGTTCCCCTCCACCAGCCCCAGGGTTTCAACTCACGGTCACTGGAGTCATAGGACAGGTACTCAGCAGAGAAGCCAGTGTCTGTGTAGGACTGGTCCGAGTGGAACCGGACCTCTATCCTGCCGGTGGTACTGGCCACCACAAACTGGGACCGCTCCCCACAGTACCTGCAGGGACAGACAGCAAAGGGGAGTGAGCTGCTGCAGGTCAGCACCGACCAAAGCCTCTGCCCCCCCAGACACCAGCACGAGGGCATCAAATCCCACACCAGAGAGCCAAGGGGCAGCAGAGGAGAGTCGATTTGGGGCTGATTCCACCCCAAACTGCTGCACCTCAAGGATGCAGGAGCTGCGTTTTGCTGCCACTTGACCAAAGGTTTGGGCTGGTCACAATGGAGCACGTGGTGTGGCTCCTCTCTTGCCATGGGGCATGGAGCTACAAGAGCAGGTCAGACCCCAGCACTCATCCCATCCTTATCCCTTATCCCACAAGTTTAAGGGAAGCCCAAGGTGCCACATAACCAAACGCCCGGCGCCTACCTCGTGCTGTTGATCTGCACATAGTCCTTGGTGCAGGAGCTGACCGGGATCCCGGGCTCCAGCACAAAGAACATGTTGAAACGCACCTTCACGTTCTTCCTAGAAGGAACCTGCAAAAGGTCAGCTGGGAATAAGTTTCATGGGAGGAGGGTTGTGCCTGGGGGGAGGATGGAAGATAACTGAGAATGCAAAGAAGAACGTTTTCCAGAAAGGAAGGAAACGCCTTCCCAAAAGCCACCCTTGGCACCGGCTCCTTAAAGCCTCCCTCTAAGCCTCTAGGTCAGACACAAGCAGCATGTCCCACATAACCATGTCCATTTGACAGACTCATTAAGGCACAGAGAGGATCCTGTCTTACCTCGATGTTCCAGACACAGTCCATGGCTGGGGGGTAGTGTGCTGGGTAATAGGGAGTGGTGAAGGTGCCACGCTCTCCTCTCAGAACCCCACCGCAGACTAGGAAGGTGAAAACAGGTTAGAGACTCAGAGATGAGGTTTTCCCAAGGCTTGGGAAGGTCCCATCACCCAAGGGAAGAAGGGAGGCAACAGTCTCTAACAAGGTTAAGTCAATCTCTGGAGAGAGAAGTGCTTAAAAAGAGAGAGAAGAACGAGGTGCTTCCTGCATCCATCAATCTGCACGTCTAATCCCACCTAGTTCTTATTTTGGCCTCCCCAGGAGATACGGTTATGGTCACCTTCAAGAGCAAAGTGAGCTCCAAGAGCCGAGATGTGACCCGCTTCCAGGTCTCCCTGGAAGCACCCCTGGCAAACTGAGCGCATCCCCAGCCGCTCTGCTCACCTTTCATCTTTGGGAGCTGGAAGAACTCAGCCTTGAAGCCGGGGAATCTGCCCTCCTTGTTGGTCACCAGCGTGACGAGCATGACGTTCTGGGAGGACAGGAAGGTCAGGTTGTAGGACGGGGCGTAATTCCCACAGAGCCTAGAAGTCCAGGACAAAATCCGTTAGGCAGCACCGATCACCAGGAGCTCAGGTACCAGCAGGACTCCTCAGTATCACCCTGACACTCCACGCCAGGACTCGGTGCTGTATGGAAAACTCATGGGATACTCACCTGACCAGTGCGTGGGGCTCCACGGGGCTCAGGGAGTTGTACACCTTGATGTAGTCACTGTCGTCCGTGCACGGCTCCAGCTCCAGCGTCTTGAAGGTCAGGCTGATGATGGAGTTGGCATCTGCCCTCAGGGTCCAGTAGCAGAGGGCATTGTTGGGGTAGGGGCTGTTGGGGAAGCCTGGTGTGGTGAAAGTGGTGATCTCCCCTTCCTTGGCGTGGAGGGCAAACATGCAGATATCTGCAGGGAGAGCAGGGAAGGGTTAAGGAGGCAAATGAGGAGGTTCTGCCCTGCCTTGCCCTGAGGTGCACAGTGCAGCACTTGCAGGTCCTCCTCTGCCTGCAGGTTGTCCCTGGGCAGGGCCTCATGCAGGGAGCACCTTTGCTTATCAACCTCCATCTACAAAGTGAGGCACTGGGGAATGACAGACTGGTTTGGGCTGGAAGGGACCTTAAAGCTCATCCAGTTCCAACCCCCTGCCACAGGCAGGGACCCCTTCCACTAGAGCAGGTTGCTCCAAGCCCCTGTGTCCAGCCTGGCCTTGAACACTGCCAGGGATGGGGCAGCCCCAGCTTCTCTGGGCACCCTGCTGCAGTCTGACCCCAAAACCAGCTCCAAGCAGCACACTGAGGTCTGCTCTGCACACAGAGCACCTCTCTCCAGGCCCTTCCCCAGCCCACAAGGAAAACCACCACCCCAAAGAGGCCACTAGAGACCGAAGTAGAACTGTACTTACTGTCCCGAGAGGAGTAAGCTATGGTGGGGTCCGCAGCTGCAGGAGAAAACAGAGGTGCTGTCAACCTTTGGGCTGTGAAAGTCCCTGGGTGCAAAGCTGAAGTTGTCCCTGGGACCCACACTGAATCACAGAATCATAGGAACAACCAGGTTGGGAAAGACCTTCAAGATCATTGATTCCAACCATTCCCAGCACTGCCAAGGCCACCACTAACCCCTGGCACTGAGGCCTCGTCTACACGGGCTGTGAACACTTGCAGGGACGGTGGCTCCAGCCCCGCCCCGGGCAGCCTGTTCCAATGCCTGAGCACCCTCTGGGCAAGGAATTGTTCCTCAGCTCCAGCTAAACCTGCCCTGGGGCAGCTTGAGGCCATTTCCTCTTGTCCCAGCCCTTGTTCCATCCCTTGGGAGCAGAGACCAGCCCCCTCCTGGCTCCATCCTCCTGTCAGGCAGTGGCAGAGAGCAATCAGGTCCCCCCTGAGCCTTCTCTTCTCCAGACTTGGCTTTGCTTGTGGCTCTGTCCCTGCAACCTGCACAGGGGAATGCTGCTCCCCTGGGCTTGGGGGAGCAGAGTGATCCAGCTTCTCCTCTGCAGGAGGGAGGATTCATCCCTGTCCCTCTCCAGACGTGCTCAGAGGAGAACACAGAGCGCTGGAGCGAAGCGGGGCAGGTCTGTGCCCATCAAAGCCGCGTCCTTACACCCCCATTGGAGTGGTCCCCGCTGCCAAAGGCACCCAAGGGAGGGCTGTGACCCACAGCTTACCCCCCCCCCAGCCCCAGGGACAGCAGAGCCAGCACTCACGGAAAGCCACGACCGACTCCACCTGCAGCACGGGGTTCCGCAGGCGCGTGTTCAGCTTCTGCACCAGGCTCTGCTTGTCGGCCATGGCCCGGTCCAGGCTCTCCTCCCGGTACTTGGGGACAAGGAACTCTGACCAGTAGTAGGCAATGACACTGCCTTCGCTGCAGGGAAAGGCAGGGATGGGGTGAGAGACACAGGAGGGCTCAGCTATCAGGAGAAGAAGGGGGCAGGCTACTTGAAGAGGTATTTGTGGAGGATGACCCCAGGGAAGGGAGAGACTCAATGGTAAGTTAAGCAAACTGTGACCAGCAAAGGTGCCTGCCAGCCAGGGAAGTGCCTATCAAAGCTGCCAGGCACCACCCATTGCAGTTCATCCCCTGACATGTCCCTCAGCACACAGTGGCAGAAAACAATAGGCATTTTCAGGCAGCTCTTCAGTGCCCACCCTTTCCTGGTTCACTCAGGTTGAATACTGAGGTGCCTCCATCCCAGCACTGCTCTCCTCCACCCTGAGACAGGGCATAACACTCACCTGAACGCGGTTATCACGGTCTCTTTGTGGTAAGGGCCAATATCTCCATGATCCCTGTAGATATCCTCCACCTGAAAGGTTTAAAGAAAGGAGTTCAGCACGTCTAGAAGAGAGGAAAGGACAGACAGAGCTTCAGGCCTGCTATGGAAAACCAGGGCACACACCCGGCATCCCTGGCTGCAGGGGCCAAGGAGAGGAAGAACAAGGAGGAAGCACAAGGAATACCCCGATCTGAGGGGAAAGGCAAGTCCTTCAGCACAGAGAGCACACACCCTCCCACCTCAGCTCCTACCTAAAGCTCCAGCCAGTTTTACATGCAAGATCCCTGTGGCCATGGGGCAAAGAGGGAAAAGTCCTGCTTGCAGGAGGAAGGATGCAAGAAGCCTCTTACCGTGCTCTTCACCTTCTTGGCCAGCATGATGAACTCTGGAGAGCTGGAGTTCTCATAAGCATCAAGGAAGTCCCAGTTCAGAATCCTCAAGTGGCCATTGAAAACCTTCCTGACGGCTGCATTCCTGTCTGGAAAGACACAGTTCGGAGTCAGGAAGGGCAATCGGAGCTGGGACTGTGGCACAGCAGGTCCCCAGTGACAGCAGTCGGGACAAGGGGTGGGAATGGCGTGTCCCCCTCTTCCCAGAGCTAGAGAGGGCAGATTCACACACTTACATTTGAAGTGCCAGACCAGGAGGCCGGTGACAAGGGAGACAAGGAGGATGCCGACGACCACGCCGGTGAGGACGACCCAACACTTTGGGCCGCGCTTCTCCATCTTCTTGGAGTTCATGGCAGGGAGGAACTCCACCCCTTCCTCCAGGTTGTTCATGTCCTGTGAGAGGAGGGAAGGGATGGGGGGGAAAGTTGATCCCAAAGCCTGGTTTGGAGAGGTCCAGCTAGTGGCTGGACTTGATGATCTTAAAGGTCTTTTCCAAACTGGCTGATTGCGTGGTTCTACCTGTGTGTGGTGGCTCCCCAGCAACACTGAGAGCTCCACACATGCCTCAGCATCAGCAGCCCCACAGCCACCCCACGGCAGGAGAAACCCTGAAGGCTTTTGCTTTGCTGTGCCACACACACCTGATTCCTTTATGGGCTTCACACAAGGTCATCAGCTCCAGCAAACTCAGGGGCAAGTCCACGCACTGCCCCGTGACCGTGGTAAGTCACAAGCCCACAACCACCAAGATCTCAGATGAAACTGCAGACAAAAATCCACCCCTGCGAAGCACTGGCTGTGTGGAAGGTGTGTCACAGCACGTAAATAGCCTTCCTGTAAAGAAGAAACCGAGCTACTTCCTCCCTTTACAACTCTCTGCTCGTCTGTCTCCTGGCAAACACAACCCTCCCTCATTTCAGCTTGGGATTCCCTGTTCAGCACAGACACCCAGTGAAAGAAAGAAGCCAAAGCACTTAGGTGAACACACAAGACATCCCCAACCAGCCAGACTCTCGGGACAAAGCCATTTTGGCTAATGAAGAGCAGGTCCTAAAGGCAGGAAGGAGGGATGCCACCTGCAGCACACAGCTCTCACTGCTCCCACCGCCTCAGGTGAGGAAGAGGAAGGTCTCCCCACACCTTCTGCTTCCTTCTTGTGCCTCCCTCAGGCAGAAGGGGCTCTCTGCCTGCTGCAAACTGCCCGAACCGTGAGGATGCTTCATCCTTTCCCATCACCACTTAATGTTTTCCTCTAGAAGTCAGGAAGAACACCCAGAATGGAGGAGAGATCCCCCGGGGGATACTCTGATTCCTGTTTGGCATCTGTGATCATACAGAAAAACCTCAAAAACATAACCCAGAACGCACACAAAATAAAGCTTCAGTGCACACAGACATCTCCTAAATCAAGAAACTCTTCAATCAAATTGCCTGCAGTTTTGACATACCATCTTTGAAGCACCATCTGCCTCCCAAATCATGCAAGAATCACCCCTAAACCAGGTAAAGAGAAGAAACCAGCCACAACTCTCACAAACATCAACCCTCTGCTGCTTGCAGCCTTCCCAACACACGTCTGCTGTTAGCAGAAAGGATTTCCTTCTCTTCTAACATTTGCAGGAGCCTGCAGCAAGAAAACAGCCTCAGGAGCTTAAATGATGCATCTCTTGACAGAGCAGCAGCTTTTCCAGCGAGGAAGGGGGAACACAGTGCTTCTGTGTGTGCTGACTGGCAATTTTGGGGCACAAACTGTTACATCTTGGCTTTAACAACACACTCCCCTGGCAGGTTGAATTCAATGCTACAAGCAGCAATGAAATAGCAAAGAAACCCTCTTTTCCAACAGCATCCCTTCAGCCCTCTGCAGAATTCCCAACATGCAGCTTCAGGACACAAAAGCCAGGGCTCAGCTGCAAGCAGGAGATCCTGGCTGTGGCTGATGCACTGGAACATCTTCTTCGAGCTACAGGCTGTGTCTTTGCAGAGGGAAAACTCGATGGGAGGAACTAAGCAGTGTGATTAGATCAGAGGGAAAACACAGCTCCCCTCCACCTGGTCCACCACACAAACACACTGCTCCTGCATGGAACTTAGGCTGGAAAACTCAGCATCTGACCCTTCTGTAGACAATTTCTCTGCTCTTCTAGGGAAAAAAGGATGGAAGAGCTCAAACCTGTGAGAGTTTACAGCACACCTTTGTCAGCGTGTGCTTGCTCCCCAGCTGAGATGGCACCAAGAGCATGGGGACTTCTAGGGAGGTGATTTTTGCTATTACTACTGTAATAACAACAGTGATTAGAGGCAGACAGGAAACTGGATTCAAAGAGGTTTCCCTCCCTGCCCTCTGTTTTGCACTCTGGATCTTCTCCTTTCCCATCCTCTCCCTTTACTCACACCATCAAACTCTGACCCCTTGTGCGAAGCTGCCTTGAAGAGCTGTCCCGTGTCACAGGCTGGGTAAGCACCAGGGATTCCTGCAAACTCTCTTCTCACTCTGAAGCCAAGGACCTGAAGCAGCCCCCAGGCACTACAGGAATGCTGAATGAGGTCCTGCTGGGATGGTTTCACATGAAGCCCCATGTCCCAGCATCTGAGTAAGAGGCTGAATCTCCCCTGCCCACACTCAGCACAAAAAGGCCACGCTGGACCCTGGTACCACGTTTGTCTGTGCTCCAACAGCATGGTCCATGTTTCCTTTGCGCTCAACAGCCCATCACAACCAGAGAGGATCTGAAGGCACATCCTGCTCCCACCTCGTGCATGGAGTAATGGGTTTAAAATGAAACAGGGCAAGTTCAGGCTAGATATAAGCAAAAAGCTCTTCCCTGTGAGGGTGCTGAGGTGCTGGCACAGGGTGCCCAGAGAAGCTGTGGCTGCCCCATCCCTGGCAGTGTTCAAGGCCAGGTTGGACACAGGGGCTTGGAGCAACCTGCTCTAGTGGAAGGTGTTCCTGCTCGTGGCAGGGGTTGGAACTGGATGAGCTTTAAGGTCCCTTCATCCCAAACCAGGCTGGGATTCCCTGAGAAACTGCCTCCAGCCCAACATGACTCAAGGTCCGACTGTCTCACCCTTCTCGAAGAAACTACTCCAGCAAACATCATAAACAGAGAACCTTCCCTGATATACTCCCTGCCTTAGTCACAGCTTCGGTGACTTCCTCTTGCTCCTCCTCACTCAGCCTTCATCATCATCATCACCATGGGGCTCGCCATGGCAGGGTCGGACGCTCTGGTCGCAGCATCAGCCTGGTTGGCGTGGCTGCTGCAGCAGGACAGCCACATGCCA